AAAATGTAGTAATTACACCATAAATGCATATTATTAAAGTCTACTGTGTTTCAGAGTCAACACGTATGGCGTTTTGGCTAGGTTTAAATGGAAAGAGCACTTTTAGATAAAGAAGGCAATAATAGATGGCACTCGTGGAGGTAGGAAAACAAAGTTCTTTATGAACCGCAGGATTGCTTGTAATAAAGATTTAAATGCAAAAGAAAAGGCAGTAGGGCTGACTATTTCTGTCAATGGTAAGATTGTGATAACGTAAGAAAAGTAGTTTTGCCACTTAATATATAAATCTAGAAGTAAATGCAAAAGTAAAAAGCATTGAAAAATGCGTTGCTTATATTTATTGTGTTTAAACATGTCTGTGAAAGATTGTATTACTGTACTGTGTAAAAAAAAGAATTGCAATGCTGAAAAAGCATTTTCAGTGACAATATTTGGATTTGAAATCAAAATAATGGATAAATGTTGTGTTTGTGGTAAATAGCCACGGATCAGTAGCGGACTCCTGTGTGAAAGCTGCTTCTCCTCTCACAAGAGACACTTAAGAGGGGAATTCCCTCCATTTTCAAAAATGAAATTCAGGCCCTGAATAAATGTCTAAAAATCCTGATTGGAGTATCAGTATAAATAGTTATAAATGATAAAAAGAAAGCTTTAAAAAGATCGGTATCGGTGATCGGTATCGGCAGATACTGCCGTCTGTGATTGGCGATCGGCTTGCAAACATTGTTTTGGGTTCCTCCTTTCAAGAGATTCAGAGGAGAGGAGCTCAACTCAGGATGCTGAACATGATGCAGCTGTCTTGGAAGTCAATGCTTTTCAAACATCTGTCAACAATATCAGATGCTACTGAATATGTGTGTGTGTGTGTGTGTGTGTGTGTGTGTGCGCGTGTGTGTTTCATTTGTTGGATATTTCTGCTTCTGTACATCAGCACTTTAGAACATGTGGGCAATCATAATAAAGACTGAGTCTGAGTGTGAATTGGGATGAATTAAATGGACAGTGCTGGTACTGCATTTCTAGAGACGTCAAGATGATTGGATGGACAGATGGGAAGGAGAATAAAGAAAGAAAGAGAGAAAGAAAATGACATCCTACCTGCAGGAGAGAGACGTTGCTCAAACTCAACCGGAAGAGATGATTCCTACACAGAGAGAGATGCTTTAGGTTTGGCAGGCTCAGCTGGGCTTGTACTTCTGTGTGTGTGTGTGTGTGTGTGTGTGTGTGTGTGGTGTGTGTGTGTGTGTGTGTGTGTGTGTGTGTGTGTTACCTGGCTCCCACTATCAGCTGGTTCCTGGTGAGGTCGAGTGCGAGCGGTGAGTAGTCATTCACTCCAGGCAGAGAGAAAGAGGACAGCCACGGGCTCAAAGCTACAGCAGAAAAGAGCCACAGGTGACATTTAGACAGTTAGCTGTGAGCCGAGATGTTTGATCTGCTGTTTAGCTGCTAGTTTCCACTGTTTGTAATACCACTAATTGAGAAAAATCCCACAAGTTAGCTCAAATGAAGACCAATGTGATGCATTCTTCTTGTGAGATACTCTTCATGTTGCTCAGCGATTGCACTGTTCTGTGATTTGTCTCTGCACACATACAGTGTAGATGTTTAATAAACCGTGTCAGGAACTGTCTAAGTGAGTTTGATTCATGCATTAATAGTCTTGTTCATCATAAGATGCATTATGCACTGGTGCAATTTACACACAAACACTTTGTGGTTGGTAGGTATCTTACGCTCGCCAAGGCTGCATTGATTTGACTAAAAACACAATAAAAACAGTAAAATTGTGAAATACTTTTAGAATTTAAAATCACAGTTTTCTAGTTTAATATATTTTAAAATGTAATTTATTCCTGTGATCAAAGCTGAATTTTCAGCATCATTTCTCCAGTCTTCAGTGTCACATGATCCTTCAGAAATCACTTGTGTTGTTTTTTTTATCTGTCCACATTACATTTATTCATTTAGGAGAAATGAGGACTACAACAGCCAATTCCATACAATGGAAGTCAAAGGGAACTGAAACTGTTTGGGTACCAACTTTCTTCAAAATATCATCTATTATGTTGGTAAACCAAATAGTGTCAGTTCCCATTGGCTTCCATTGTATTTTTTTTGCCATTCAATAGAAGTCAATAGGAACCAAAACAATTCGGACTAACGTTGGAACGACATGAAGGTGAGTAAATGATGACAGAATTTTCTTTTTCTTTTGGTGAACTATCCCTTTAAGATTTCAGTCACCATTTGTGTCAGTTGTGCAATCATCTCAGAAACTGATTTTGCCCTTTTAATCTTTCATGATTTCCAAAAATTTGCCTAAGATGGCAAAATCGTGGCCAAAATCATACTGTGTGAACCAGGCTTAAGTCTAGCAGAAATCAGCAGAACAAATGAAATTGCTTATAGCACCTTTAAAATGTGTGTCTGAAAACGTTTTAGCGGCAAAAAGAAAACAGTGACTAATGATGAAATTATCAGGCATTTCAGGAGCAGCTCGGCTGAAGAGAAGAAACATTGGGTATGCAGTCCATTTAGTTCTCCAAACAGTGCTGAAGCAAGATTTGCTGTAAATCAGGGTTGTTATCACCCAACAACAGACGACTACACCCTCACTGTCTCACATTTAAAAAAGAAATGCTCCTGAATCTCTCTCGATGGCCAAAATCACTCTCTTAATGTCTTTAGTGTACAGCAGCTTCTGCTACTACAGCAATTCACTAACAGTTATATAATAGAGGTCAATATAAACACTTACAGTGTAGCCCTGCATACTATCAGAGCAGACTGTGGCGATTAATGTGTGATATTAGAAACTGCAGGGCGTGATCGTACACACAGCTGTGTTAACCTTTAACATCTGGCCAGCATATGATTAAAACTGTTAAACACAGACAGGTACCAATGAAAGGCTGCTGGCAGTTAACTAGTCTCAGATGAAAACATACCCTGGACCGGTAACAGGCCATTAATGGACCATCCGATGCATACTGCACACAAAAACGGCAAAAGTTCTCAAATCAGACAGCTCTAATCTGAATGACTAGCTTAAGGCAGTTTCCAGGAGTCAAAGTGAACAGGTTTTTAACAAATTAATTTACTTCATCATTAACTTCTTTAGCTTAAATCAAGCTACACTAGTCAAAGATTTTACAATTTTGAATTGCTATTTTCTATTTGAATATATTGTAAAATGTAATTTATTCCTGTGATGCAAAGCTGAATTTTCACGTCGCATGATCCTTCAGAAATCATTCAGAAATCATGCTGCTTTAATATTCAAGAAACATTTATTTTAATCATCAATGTTGAAACAGTTGTGCTTTTTTTCAGGATTCTTTGATGAATAGAAAGTTCAACAGTACAGCATTTATTTAAAATGGAAATTCTTTGTAACATTATAAATGTCTTTACTGTTTTATATATATATATGAATAAATATGTAATAAATATGGACTAGCTAATAAAATACAAAAGTGATGTCTTTTTCAAAAAGGCTCTTGTAACTGAAATTTACAACCATCATAGTGAGCAATGTGATTTCTCCCATTCATTTGACTGTTTTTATCCTCCCTATACTGTCTCTGGTTTCAGTTAGATGGTCTCTTCTGATCTAGCTGCAATGGAGACGTTCGGCTATGTTGCAGTTTTTACTAGCTCAACCAATATTACCGAGATGTTCAGGGGGGAAAAAATGATTCAAAGGCTTATCGTTTTAACCTTTGGCTCCAAATGCGATGATGGAAAGGGCAGGAGAGAGTGAGCTATTTTACACCCACCTGTGTAGGAGGTAACGGGGTGGATTTTTCTCAGGCACTCTCCAGGCAGAGAGGGCGCAGACTCTGGGTCAGAGGTCGCTGGGAGTGATGGCGTCTGTGACGTGACGAGAGGCAGAGAGAGGAGGCGGAAGATGACAAGTCCAGAGAAGAGCAGCGGTCCGACCCGGAACGGCAATGCTGTCATGGTTACTGCAACAACCACTCCTGTACTTGCAAACGGTGAGAGTCCTGAGAAGAGGAGAGATGAAAAACGAATCACGTTACAGAGTGCAACAGTCGTGCTCCCAAAGTGAAAACTGATTTTAGCAATAACTTTTACCAGTTGTGAGCTACGAGGTTAATCAACAGTATATCCTTTTGTTGAAGCCATCAACTTATTTTTTGAATAATCATGTTTAACAGCAGAATTTGTGGTGATAGACTACATTACCCATGATGCTGCACAAAAACAATTCACCAATCAGAGTGTTGCAGCTAACAAAAAGAGCTTGCAGGGAACGTCGCAAACGGCATAATCGAGTCGGTCTCCCTACACTATCAAAATACTTAAATATTTCTAATTTACAATAAATGTAAAATACATTGCTTTATAGATATAATCAACAACTTTAATTGAATAGTTTTACATTTAATTTTTACTTTGATTATGTCATTCACAATGCTTCAAGGGATTGTAGTTCTTTCCCTTAAAGCCATCAAGTCTTGTCTTTTTGCTTGATTTTCAAATACTTTTTCACTTCAAATAAAAGTTTGCAATATTGTGATTTACCTCATAGCTGGTTGGTTTACTTCATGGATTATAACACTTTTACAAAGACTTTTTAAAAATCCCTACGGGAAAAATGAATGAAAAAGAAAATTCCGAAACCAATCACTGAAAAAGTGAGCGGCCATTAATGCACTCTTATTAAATACACCTTGTTATTAAAATAAAAAAAGACTTGGAATATGGACTTTCTGAAAGCTTCAGTCCCTCACTGTAACTGCATGGAAAAGAACGACCAATATAAATCCAATATAAATCCTCAAAATTTTTCAGAACTTTCAGAATTGTAAATTCAACAAAATAAACCAAAAACTGGAAGAACAGAAGAAAGCAGATGGACATCCAGACAAGTGAGCTAGACGGACAGATAAACAGACAAGTGAGCAGACAGAGCGCAGAGAGACGGCTTCATCTTTTCCTGATGGGTTAGACGGTGTAAATCTTGCTCTTTCTAATCGAATTATCCTCCATCTCTCATCAGAGTAAACGACTGGACCTCTTCCAAGACCCGCAGCGGTTCAACATAATGTTATTCTAAAACATAACATTGATTTTGCTGTAATTGTCAGCCTGTGGATGATGAGCCAGCAGATCATTAAAAGTTTAATTATAAGTTGAAGAAAAGATTTTGATATATTTTCAGCCTGTCATGGGAATCGACGGCTCTCTGTGATGACCTCCCTAAAGCTTAAAACGGTTCACTCAGTTCATTTTTCCATTAGGTGTTTGACAGCGCATGAGGCTCAGGTAAACCCAACATGTAAACACGCATCTGAGATATATACATACACAAAGCTTCACTTTAACACAAACCTCCCTGTTAGTTCTCGAGAAAACAAACACACACACACACACACACACACACACACACACACACACACACACACACACACTAACACATGCTCAGTCACACTTAAACTTACACTTCTTGACGCGTCATAGAGAAACCACTGCAGCATCTGTATTGGTTTTACGCAAACACACACACACACACACCAAACACTGGCCACTCTGTAGAGAGGTGGTCTGATGTCCTGAATCTGTAACTAGGTCCACCTTTTTCACATTTTTGTACTGATCCACTTGATACCATATGATAGTATCAAATGGAAATACTTATATACTTTAAAAACAAAATTCAAGTAATCTTAGAAATACCCCCAAAGAGCTAAAAAGAAAAGCCTGACATCTCCAAAACTGTGTCAAGATTATAAATAACAGCGGATGCCCATATCAAAATAACTACTGGCCTTCTGGCATTCCTATAGTCGCCATATTGAATGTTACAATTTGGAGAGACAGCGTCACATCAAAGTGGAGTCAGCTGTCTTAACCGCATTTAAGCATTAAATTAATGTTTAATTAAGCATTAAACATTAAAGCATGTCAACATATTCTGTTACACCAAATACACCAAATTATGATCTTTAAAAAAGCATCATATGACCCCTTTAATTTTTCAACAAGTCATCCTTTTGTGTGTGCAAATAATTTTTTCAAAAGTAATTGAAATTAAACTAAAATTAAAATAAACTGTAAATATTAAAAGAAGCTGCCTTGGAAACTACCTGAAATAAGTTTAAGCACTACAATTACTAAAACTGAAATACAAATAAAGTGAGCACAAATTTAAAAAATAAAATAATAAAAATGATAATAGCACATAACAGAATGACCAAACCTTAAACTAAAATTAAAACAAATACTGCAAATAATCACTATAATTTTTTTTATTTAAAAAAACGCAAACAGCTTTTATTCAAAGCTATCAAAATTATATTATTAGAAGGGGGGGGCGGGAATTATACCGTCCAAACAACATAATAATACCTAAATATTCAAAATAAAATATTCTGGGAAAACTTTCAGCTGAAAGTTTCATTTAAGCAGAAACTAATATAAAATTTATAAAAAAAAAATATTTACATTTTACATGGTATTTAATAAGCTGATGCGTGTCATTTTTTCAGGGTTAAAACACTTTTTCATATACCAGTTTAATATGCAGAAAACAACTAAAAGTAAGCCATTCATAAGTTGATTTAACTCCAAAACAATATAAACTTCCCATCCTAAACAGCAACACTGGCTCGACCAATGGCATGGTTTGGGGGCGGGGCTATCATTGGGTCCCACCAATAGCAGATAGGGGGAGTGTTTACGAAACTTTTGAAAACAGTACTTATTTTTACAGTTCCATTTGGTGATACTATTAATGGCATCAAAAAATTGCACACTTGCACATTTAAACAACATTTACACAAAAAATCTCAAAGTCACAGCAAGGGGAGGGGCTGTGTAGAATTTTATTAATGGCATGCATTTGAATTCTATGGAAATGTGTCGAGTTTTCTGTGGAATTCTCTGGCAGCAGGTTCCACAGGCGTACTGTTGCTCTTATTCTTGGCTCCGGGAGCATGACGCTGTGCGGCAGACACTTCATCGCCAACCATGTCTAATGCACCTCAATAGCAAAAGACCCTCAATCCCCCAAATCCCCCTTAATACCCTCAGCACTCCCACATTCAGTGTATTCATGCCCACCTTCTCAGACTCATCAGAGGCCATAGAGATAGAGGGATGACGGAGAGAAAGATGGAGAACCATGAAAGTCAATGATGGCAGTGACAAATGCACCGGAGGAGAGGCCAGGGTCAGACAATGAGCAGACTAGGTGGGCCACTGACGGCCCGTCTGGGACGATTCCATTTGGGTTAATAGAGGAGATATGAAAGAACGGGATGAATAAATAAGGTCAAAGATGGCTGACAGACACAAATACGCTCAATAACACACAGATATCCTCGAGGTCAATAATGAGCTGACAGCTCTTCTAACTAGATTAGACTATGAGTGAACAATTCAAACAATGTGTGTTGAAGTTACTCAAGACTTCCAAGCATGTTTATGGGTAATACACAAGGGAATTTTTCAGACTCCTCTCAAATGCTTATGCATTGTTTCTACACAATATTGCGACATTGCTCGAGGTCATGCCTGGTTTAGAGGCAACTTGTTTCTTGCCCTTGCAAAGTAGTACAAAATCCACCAAAACAATCAGTCATTTACGAGAGCATGAGATTATCAACTAATGTTATTATATAATAGAGACTTTTCAAAGTAAATATCTCCCAGTCATAACATAATGCTTGATTATGAGATTATCAGAATTAAACAGTCTCCCCTTTTGCTGTAATTAAAAAAAAAAAATCCTAAATGTGGTTTCACTTCTACTCAGGTTTTGTCAAAATACTTTCTGTCTGTCCATATAGATCAATACTTACAGTACCGTTCAAAGGTTTGGGGCCATTTATTTCTAATAAATTCTGGTCTTATGAACTTTCTATTCATCAAAAAAAATATTTTATCATGATTTCCACAAAAATATGAAGCAGCACAACTGTTTTCAACATTAATAATAAAAAATGTTTCTTTAGCAGCAAATCAGCATATTAGAATGATTTCTGAAGGATCATGTGACACTGAAGACTGGAGTAATGATGCTGAAAATTCAGCTTTGATCACAGAAATAAATTATATTTTACAATATATTACCATAGAAAACAGTTATTTTAAATTGTAATAATATTAAAAAAATATTACTGTTTTACTGTATTTTTTTCATTTAGAAATTGCATCCTTGGTGAGTAAAACATTAAAAATCATACTGACCATAAAGCTCTGAACGGTAATGTACTAAACTTCTAGTTCACATAATGATACATGATTCTAAAAGAATTTGGAATTATGAAATGAAGTTTTTACATACAAGTAAAAAGTTTAGTGAAATACATTCTAAAACAAACTTTACATAATATAGCTGTCTATCACATTATACTCTGCTTTCCAAAAAATGCATAGAACAATTTCAAATCTCTTTCTTTTCATTTACTGAAAAAGACAGTATCCGACTCAGATTCTCTCTCATATAATAAAACTCATTATCTCCCTTTCTTATCGATGCTTTCCACCTTAATTTCTGCTCTCCTCTCACTTCTGTTCTCCTACATGTAGATTCTGTACCAAAGTATCTCTTTATTATCTGATGGGAGACCAAAATGATTGAACCACTTTCTCTCTCACACCAAAGCTCAGTATAGCATAAAGTGAAGCCCTGCGTACGCTGTGTCTGTGTAAAGGTTGTGACTCTGAGGGCAGGAGGTGTTTGGCGTCCTGCAGCTCTCTGCAGTCTCTTTCGTCTCGTCTAATCCAGACGGAGAGATTTAAAGGCCTTTATGTAGAATTACAAACTGCACTGCCAATTCCTGCCCTGGACGCACATGGCTCCCTCTAAAGCAGAGTCACAAGACAGGGTTCAAATTTCATGTCGTGAGCTTAAATTGGTTTTTGTGTTTGTGACATAAATAGAATTTGTGTTTAAAAAAAAAATAATAAAAAATGTTGCGGTCAATGCAACTTAAACTCTAATGACAGCATGTTGTTCATTACCACCGAAAATAAT